CAAGCCGCTAACCAGACTGAGAGTCGAAGATCAAAATGAATTTTTTATGAGAGAGCCACAAAATTTGGTTAACACAAGCCTATCTGATGTTATCCTGATGCCAAATGACTTCGAACAAGTGATAAATGACATGCCCATGCACTCTGCCCCAGGGCCAGACTCATGGAACTCCGTGTTCATCAAGAACTGCAAGAAGCCCCTATCACGAGCCTTTTCCATCCTATGGAGAGGGAGCATGGACACGGGGGTCGTCCCACAGTTACTAAAAACAACAGACATAGCCCCACTCCACAAAGGGGGCAGTAAAGCAACAGCAAAGAACTACAGACCAATAGCACTAACATCCCATATCATAAAAATCTTTGAAAGGGTCCTAAGAAGCAAGATCACCACCCATCTAGAAACCCATCAGTTACACAACCCAGGGCAACATGGGTTTAGAACAGGTCGCTCCTGTCTGTCTCAACTATTGGATCACTACGACAAGGTCCTAAATGCACTAGAAGATAAAAAGAATGCAGATGTAATATATACAGACTTTGCAAAAGCCTTCGACAAGTGTGACCATGGCGTAATAGCGCACAAAATGCGTGCTAAAGGAATAACAGGAAAAGTCGGTCGATGGATCTATAATTTCCTCACTAACAGAACACAGAGAGTAGTCGTCAACAGAGTAAAGTCCGAGGCAGCTACGGTGAAAAGCTCTGTTCCACAAGGCACAGTACTCGCTCCCATCTTGTTCCTCATCCTCATATCCGACATAGACAAGGATGTCAGCCACAGCACCGTGTCTTCCTTTGCAGATGACACCCGAATCTGCATGACAGTGTCTTCCATTGCAGACACTGCAAGGCTCCAGGCGGACATCAACCAAATCTTTCAGTGGGCTGCAGAAAACAATATGAAGTTCAACGATGAGAAATTTCAATTACTCAGATATGGTAAACACGAGGAAATTAAATCTTAATCAGAGTACAAAACAAATTCTGGCCACAAAATAGAGCGAAACACCAACGTCAAAGACCTGGGAGTGATCATGTCGGAGGATCTCACCTTCAGGGACCATAACATTGTATCAATCGCATCTGCTAGAAAAATGACAGGATGGATAATGAGAACCTTCAAAACTAGGGAGGCCAAGCCCATGATGACACTCTTCAGGTCACTTGTTCTATCTAGGCTGGAATATTGCTGCACACTAACAGCACCTTTCAAGGCAGGTGAAATTGCTGACCTAGAAAATGTACAGAGAACCTTCACGGCTGGCATAACGGAGATAAAACACCTCAATTACTGGGAGCGCTTGAGGTTCCTGAACCTGTATTCCCTGGAACGCAGGCGGGAGAGATACATGATTATATACCCCTGAAAAATCCTAGAGGGACTAGTACCGAACTTGCACACGAAAATCACTCACTACGAAAGCAAAAGATTTGGCAGACGATGCAACATCCCCCCAATGAAAAGCAGGGGTGTCACTAGCACGTTAAGAGACCATACAATAACTGTCAGGGGCCCGAGACTGTTCAACTGCCTCCCAGCATACATAAGGGGGATTACCAACAGACCCCTGGCAGTCTTCAAGCTGGCACTGGACAAGCACCTAAAGTCGGTTCCTGACCAGCCGGGCTGTGGCTCGTACGTTGGTTTGCGTGCAGCCAGCAGCAACAGCCTGGTTGATCAGGCTCTGATCCACCAGGAGGCCTGGTCACAGACCGGGCCACGGGGGCGTTGACCCCCGGAACTCTCTCCAGGTAAACTCCAGTGATGGTGGTAGAGGGTAGTAGTGGTAGTGATGGTGGTAGAGGGTGGTAATGGTTGTGATGCTGGTAGAGAGTGTTTGTGGTTGTGACGCTAGTAGAAGGTGGTAGTGGTTGTGATGCTGGTAGAGGGTAGTAGTGATGGTGGTAGAGAGTGTTAGTGGTTGTGATGCTAGTAGAAGGTGGTAGTGGTTGTGATGCTGGTAGAGGGTAGTAGTGATGGTGGTAGAGGGTGGTTGTGATGATGGTAAAGAGTGCCTTCTTCAGTGCTTCAGTGATTCTACTAACTCCTCCAATGTTGTTGGAGTTATATAGGGCTACAGAAAACATCGCCGCCTCAGCTGCAGCTATCACCAACATTTTGTACAGCTTATGCTCACAGTGGCCCTTATACACCCAACAACAACAACAGAACACCTATCATTACATACATAATGACTTATTTCGTTCATTCTAGAGTATTTATCATGTTTCTCTGTTATCAATATTGTTTATTATGTCATAGTTGAATTGTAATAGATAAGCTGTAGAGTTGACATTAGTGTCATTTTCTCCAACAATAAACTCGCCTCCCTCTTCCCTTCTGCCCAGTCTGCCAACAAGTCTTTTCAATAAAGGTAAGTGTGATAAATGTTCATTGCTCTTGACTCTCGCCCAGGCAGGTCATAGCAGCTCTCCTTACTCTGTCTCCCTACGATCCCCGTTGGGGAGGGGAACCTTTACCAGCGTCGTCTTTGCCTTGACTTACACGATGAGCTACGCAGATCGTGTAAAGATCAAACCAACAAACGGTACCATTGATGATTCAACGAAGATTGCTCTTGCAACTATTGTTCAAGGAGCACTGCAAGTAAAATTCAACACCATATTGTCACTGAAAGAAGCATTCATTGTTGTGTGTCACAATGATGCTGAAGCAGAGAAGTTACTTACTACAGAAGCCACCACTACTCTTACTGCTCAAGGGTTTACTTTTACATCATCTCCTGCCCTCAGGGCAAGGAAATCAGTATTCCTTAAAAAACTTGACAAGATTCTGACTTCTCAATCAACTGCTGAACTCAAGTCATCCATCGAGACGCAAAATACTTGGGCTACTGTTGACAGCATTACAAAAATCCCAAATGCAACGTCCATGCTCAAGGTCACCTTCACCGACGTGAACATGGCTGCCACTGTTCTGAGCGAAGGTCTTGCTGTCTACTACTACTATATCAGTCCTACCTACATTGAAGCAGAGAGATACCACTACATTCAACATTGCTGGAACTGTTATTCATACCATCACACCACCAAAGCATGTCCAGTAAAAGACAAGAAGTTCTGCACTACATGTGGTAGTGAGGGACACACCTTCAGCTCCTGCAACGCTGCTGCTCCATCACAACCAGCGTGCTTAAACTGCAAGAGTAATGGCCACCATACACTGGCAGCAAAATGTCCTACAAGAAAGGATATTATGAAGAAAACACAAGATGCAGCAAAGAAAAAACCTACAAGCAACACTCCAATGTATGCAGCAATTGCAAAGATACAAGCAAACACTACAAAATTACTTCAAGCATCTACTCAGCGCGCCTCCACCATCATCACTCCTCCAACATGTGACGTAACCAAGATCCACTACTGCTTACTATACGCTCACATGCAGAACATGGCTGTACCTGGATCATTTAACTCTACCATCAACGAGTTATTTGCATTAAATAACATGCCTTCATTTACATTTCCAGCATCTCCACCTTCTGAAGAAATTCTCAAATTCACCAAAAACTTAATCGCCAACTCTTCTGCAGAAGTCCCATCAACACCACCAACTAGTGACGTCAATCCAACAACGACCAATGAGAAGCCTCTACCGCCACCACCTCTCACTGAATCCAACCAATCAGAAGCCTTACCACCAGAAACATCTTCTAATTCGTCTACTGAAGTTGAAAATGAAGCAACACCACCTTCCTCTACTCCACCACCGCCTTCTCTACTTAGCTCACGTCGATTACCTGGAACACCATGCTTTAAACACAAAGGACTCATATTCTACACCACGAGGCTATACCCTGCAAGCATGACTCGCCTAGAACTCGTCCAACATCTCCAAGACAACACTGTATCGTACCAAAGCGAAGAAAGACCATTCCCTACCTACAACCAGATGCTCCACCACCTCCAAACCAACGAATACTACTACAGCTCTCCCATAAGTGTGATACAACTCTCTCGAAAACAATATACCGCACTGATAAACGGTTTAAGACCATAACCAACTCATCCTGCTTGCTGCCTTCTGACACTCCCAGCTCCTGCTGCTGCCTTCACCATCCTCTCCTAGTGAGCCAAGCAATGACATCAGTCAAGCCTCTCTATCTACATCTCCAGTACTTTTGTACCACATGTCCCAAAGTGGTTGGGCCACTTGCCTTGATTCCTCCTCTTCCCCTCCTCCCCATCCTTTTCCAGTTATTTCCATCCTTCCTTATCCTTCTTCCTTCCCATCTTACGACAGCTCTCGTCGTCCTCGAAGAAAGAAGAAGAAGTAGTGCTTATATTTATTTGTCATTCTTTTCTGCATGTAAATCTATATTTAAGCTAGGGAAGTGGGTAGGGAAGTGACCCATGATAATGACTTCGTACCTAGAATCCTTATGGAAGGGGATTCCCCTTCCAAACAATAACCTTTCTTCCCTCTCTCCTCCTCCCTGTCTTCCATCCGTCAACAACAGCCTTCAATAAAGGTCAGTGTCATGTTCATTCCTTTGTGCATGTAAATCTATCTTGAAGGTAAAAAAAATCATTTTTGTTGATACTTCTGGGTGTCTGGAACGGATTAATTCCATTTACATTATTTCTCATAGGGAAAATGGTTTCGGTTTTGGCCAATTTCAGTTTTGGCCGAAGCTCTGGAACGGATTAAACATGAAAACCAAGGGTCCACTGTATAGCACATCACTATATCCAAGTACAATTACAATGTTATTATCGTTGTTTTTACAGTTGTGAGACCCCTCCCCCCCCCCCCCCTTTTTTTTTTTTTCATTTATTTATTTATTTATTTTTTTTTCATTTTAAGGTTTTTACGGAACATACCCTATTTTACCTATGTTATTCAGTTCATCTTGCATGAATTTCTTATTTACTTGCTGTTTTTAAGAACACAACTCCCATGTTAATCAGTGGCCAACTGTATACATTTTAAATGAGTCTTCTATTAGTTACTGTCTTCTTTTTCTTACAGACAATGCAGAGTTGCTCTTTGAAGAAGCAACAAGGCTACATAAAACTGTTCTGGAGAAGTTACATAAGGATCCCCCTGACCCAAGTTACAAGGAGGCTGAAGCAGAGCGAGTGTGCAAGTTTTACCTTGAGTGTCAACAACTGGTCTCAGAGGCTCTCACCTCAAAACTACAAAGCTATGACCTTCCTACCATATTCATATCCACCACTACTGTCATTTTGGTAAGTCGTGGACCAGGCCATGGGTGTGTTGACTGCTGGAACAACCTTCAGGTAAACTAACACTGATTGATTAGTGCAGCTGTAGTTGTGAAGAGAAAACAGTATTGAGGATCTTAGGCTTTCATATTGCACATTTATATAAACTACAGTATTATATAGTGTTGAAGACACTATTTTGTTTTTCCAAAAACAAGTATTGAAACTTTACCCAGCACTTTGGAAGCCGAAGGTTAAGTTATTCATTGGCCTCAACTTAAGCCTAGAAAAGTGTTTCAATACTAGACAGTAATCTGAGCTCCTGTGTGTGACTCAATAATGAATTATTAATTAAAATTATAAATAATCATAAAAATTTGTTGGCATTTAGCACTGGTAGGCAGCGGTGAACCAGGTGATGGAGTCGATTGGTTTGTGGATAATACAGTGAAACCTCTACTTACGAGTTTAATCTGTTCCATGACCTTGCTCGCAACTGGATTTGCTCGTTTGCAGTGTCAATTTTCCTCATTTAAATTAATTGAAATGTAATTAATTCGTTCCAGTGGAATTCCAGGCACGAGAAAATACTTTAATAATTTCCCTAATATCAACTCTACAGCTTATTTATCTATCACAATTCATGTAATATGACATAATAAACAATATTAATAACATAGAAACATGATATATACACTAGAATGAATAAAATACATGTCATTAGGTATGTGGCTAGTGGTGGTGACAGCAACCATTGTTGTTGGGGTTTATAGGGCCACCACAGTGGCCATTCCTGCTCCTGACTACATGTGTAGAGAACCTAGGATAACCAAAAAAAATCAGGCAGAGTGACTTATCAGTGCTACACTCTTAAGGCTTCACTTAATTGCTACACTCTTAATGCTACACTTTGCCACTGCTGCTTCATGTTGTCTGCCACTTCTACCTCATGTTGTCTGTCACTGCTGCTTCATGTTGTCTGCCACTGCTACCTCATGTTGTCTGTCACTGCTGCTTCATGTTGTCTGCCACTTCTACCTCATGTTGTCTGTCACTGCTGCTTCATGTTGTCTGCCACTGCTACCTCATGATGTCTGCCACTGCTGCTTCATGTTGTCTGCCACTGCTGCCTCATGATGTCTGCCACTGCTGCTTCATGTTGTCTGCTACTGCTGCCTCATGATGTCTGCCACTGCTGCTTCATGTTGTCTGCCACTGCTACCTCATAATGTCAACCACTAATGTCACCAAAGAATTGAACATTTCTGCCATTTTGAGCTCAATTTCAAGGTACTTTTCATCGTGAAACCAATTAAAATCATATTTATTTTTGTAGTATATCTTCCATTCTATCACATGAGACCAAATAAAACGAAAATACAACCATAAAAACCATACAAAAATGTACCGCTAAGGGGAGGCTAATGGCTGAGAAGTGAACTCCGTTATTTATGGTCAGATTTCTTTAATTTTTGGTGTACATTAAGAAGCATCTTTTCATCATACATTGCCCAAGTTTCAATAAGATAGTCCAACAAACAACTGAGATCCAATTCCCTAGATCAAGAGCAAGAGCCCCCTCACCAGGGTCAATTAACCTCCCTTGAGGCTCGCTCGCATCTGGAAATTTTGCTCGCGTCTGGAAGCAAAAAATCGACCGAGCAGCTGCTCGTATCTGGAAAAACTCGCACATGGATACACTCGTAAGTAGAGGTTCCACTGTACCAGTAATTCACCTGTTTATAATCAAACCACCTGATAATATTTTTACTCACCTCAGATGATCCTGATATTAACCCTTAAACTGTCCAAACGTTGATATATGTTTGCTCGCATAGCACTCCGAACGTAGATCAGCATTTTATTTTCCATTCCTTCAAAATTGGGGTGATAGGCTTGAGTCGACTAGACACGAGAGAATGGGTCTTAACACTTAGTGTGCACAGTATTAAAAAACATCTGGGACCACTTAGTACCTTGTGGGAGCACCAGTTCAATTGAGCACCAGCTAGAGCAAACAGCGTGACAAACACCAGGGATTCACTGATGTCATGTCATATTAGCACTCCCCTTTTAAGAGGAAAGTAAAAATAGGTTAGATAAATACACGAGTGGGTGTGAGTTGGACCTGACTAGCTTGTGCTGCTAGGTCTGATGCCGTGCTCCTTCCTTCAGTGGATGTGACCTGACTAGGTGGGTCATTGCTCTGAGCCAGGGGGTGACATGGACCTGCCTTGCATGGGCCAGTAGGCCTGCTGCAGTGTTCCTTCTTTCTTATGTTCTTATGTATTCGGCAGGCTGGCTGGCTTTGGCTGTCTCTCTGTCTGTCTGTATCTTTGTCTGTTTGTCTATATCTCTGTTTATCTGTCTGTATCTCTGTCTATCTGTCTCTCCCTCACACGTACACATAAGTACAATTATTATACATAGTGTAAATTACCTAGGATAACCCATAAATTCCAGGCAAAGTGCTATACTGTGCTTGTAGATTTAAGACATAAATAACCATGACGCAATATATGTTTTCACTTGCTCAGGGATCAGGGAGCGGCTCGTAAACCAATAGACAGACAGATAGACAGACAGACAGACAGACATATTTGTGTGTAACAGTGAAAACAAATAAAGATAGGGTTCCCTGAGTGCACATTCATCAAGTGTCACTGGGCTGTCAGCAGTTTACTGACACTTGTCATAACACCATACTTTAAGAAGTTTCATATATACCCAGGCACACACAGGCAGGCAAAAAGACAGATAAGCAGAGCTAGACAGACAGACAGATAGGCAGACAGACAGACAGACAAACAGATAGATAGACAGACATAGTTTGTGTGTAACAGTGAAAACAAATTAAGCAAAGGTTCCCTGAGTACACATCAAGTGTCACTCCCTGTCAGCAGTTTACTGACACTTGTCATAACACCATGCTTCAAGGTATACTCCAATGTGTCTAAAACATTGCTGGGACCTATAAATACTTTGTATATACAGTGGAACCTCAAATTTCAAACGTATCGCTTATTGAACTCTTCAAAAATCAACCGCTTTTTTTAAACCAGCTTTGTCCCTGTTATCGAACTCGTCCCTTCTTTCGAACCGCCTGGTACCGGACCTGTCCGCCAGCCTTCTCTGTCCACATCCCTGCGTAGGCGCCGTGAGCCAGTCTGCCTTTGTTGATGCTTGAATGAACACTAACCTGCGGTCTCATTCAAACATTTTACGATTAATTCATTTTGTTTAGTGCCTGTGGGACTGTGAAATAAGCTAAAATGGGCCCAAAGAAACTTGCTAGTGGTACCCCTGTGGTAAAGAAAGATTAAGATTAAGGAGATTTCTGCCAAGTGGAATGATGTCCAAATGTTTGTGGAGAAGTACCACCCTGAGCAAGCTGAAACAAGCCATCTTTGCAACAAGTTCAATGACGGAACCATGTCCCATTTTAAGGAAATCTTAAAGAGGCGCCAGAAACAGAGGACTGTGGACAGTTATTTTGTGAGACAGGGGTCCAGTGACTAAAGCTGGTCCTAGTGGCATTAAAAGACAGAGAAGGGAAGTAACCCCAGAGAGGGCTTTGATACCTAAAGTCCTTATGGAAACGGATTCCCCTTCCAAACACTAACCCCATCTCCTTCTCTCCTCCTCCCTATTTTCCAGAAGCCATCACCAATCTTCAATAAAGGTAAGTAAAAATGTTATTTTATATGTTTATTTAAATTTATTAATAATTGTACACTATATTTGTTGTGTGTATGTAACACTATAATGTAATACTATCTAAAAAATTATTTTTTTTTTAATATTTTTTGGGTTTCTGGTGTGATTGTGATTATTTGAGTACTATTTCATTACCTAATATTAGTGTCAGAACAAAGATTGGCTATAAAATCACAAGAACTATTGTAAATTGTAATTAACGGAACTTAAAAAAATATATAAATTAAAATAAAAATGAGAAAAATAGGTACATCTACCATCCGACTTACGACCTGCTCGACATACCACTTGACTTACGACCGTGCATCTGGCAGCTGGGCTGGGCCGGCTGATGCACACCACTGTACAATATTTGACAATACTTGCGGCGGCAATGTGTCATGCAGGCAGCATCAGTTTGAGTAACCCTGCCCTATCAGCAGCATCATACTGTATTAACTGTACTAACTGGACAGTAAATTTCAGCATGGCCCCTAAGATGAAGTCTGAATCTTGCACTGGAGATTGTGGCAAGAAAGTCTCTTACTCTCCAACTCTCTATTTGTTTTCACTGTTGCACATAAACCTGTCTGTATCTGTCTGCCTGTATATCTGTCTGTCTGTATCTCTGTGTGTCTGTTTGTCTACCAGTGTGTCTGTCTTTCTGTCTACCTGTGTGTCTGTCTTTGTCTACCTGTATGTTTTTCTGTCTACCTGTGTCTTTCTGTCTACCTGTGTGTCTGTCTTTCTGTCTACTTGTTTACCTGTGTGTCTTTGTCTACCTGTGTCTGTCTTTATGTCTACCTGTGTGTCTGTCTTTATGTATACCTGTGTGTCTTTCTGTCTACCTGTGTGTGTGTCTTTCTGTCTACCTGTGTGTCTTTCTGTCTACCTGTGTCTGTCTTTATGTCTACCTGTGTGTGTGTCTTTATGTCTACCTGTGTGTCTTTCTGTTTACCTGTGTGTCTGTCTTTCTGTTTACCTGTGTGTCTGTCTTTATGTCTACCTGTGTCTGTCTTTATGTCTACCTGCATGTCTGTATGTCTACCTGTGTGTCTTTCTGTTTACCTGTGTGTCTTTCTGTCTACCTGTGTGTGTGTCTTTCTGTCTACATGTGCATCTGTTTGTGTCTACCAGTGTGTTTGTCTTTCTGTCTACCTGTGTGCCTGTCTTTCTGTCTACCTGTGTGTCTGTCTTTATGTCTACCTGTGTGTCTGTCTTTCTGTCTACCTGTGTGTCTTTCTGTCTACCTGTGTGTCTGTCTTTCTGTCTACCAGTGTGTCTGTCTTTCTGTCTACCTGTGTGTCTGTCTGTCTTTCTGTCTGCTT